CAAAAGGGCAAAATAAACCTAAAAGATAAGGTTATGCCTGACTAACCTTCTCCAACCAAGTGCCTGCCCATGGCTGATGGGTGTTGCAGTTCAAAGTATCTGGTGGGCACCATGTTGGTGGAGGCTGTTCTAGACACTAAAATCTGGAGCTGGTTGTGAAGAGCAAGCCTTCAACTGGCAGATGAGATGCAAGAATATTGATAGGTTCTGGGAAACCATCATTCAGTTTCTCCTAATTGCACTGACACCCAATTTCACATTCAAAGAACAAGTCTCGGAGTCATTCACCCTGTCCAACGATTGATTTGTGCAGATGGCAGTGACTTTGTGCAGGGCACGTGCCACCCCTGTGCATTCAGCGACCGTCTAAACAGGGCTAACACCCTTTAATATGAAGAAACAGCTGGCTGCAAATTATGTTTGTAATTATACATGAGGTTACTTCTGAACAAACTTTTTATCAAAGTAAAAGGGGAAAGAAGCATTGCTTTTGCTTGTTTTTGCATCAAGATGTTTTCCTTTCTGCTGGCTAGACAATTGATCCTATAATGTTGATGCAGATCTGACTGACCGACTGGATACAGCTTTGGAGAAGAATGAAGAGCTTGGCTGAGCTTGGAGATGAGCAGGGAATTAATTTTGAGGATACAGACTGTAGGTTTCCTATTTGAAGCATCTAGTATAGGGTTGCCATTTTTCAAGAAGTGGGTGAGCTTTTGGCAGAATTTTTATTTTTTTGCAAAATCTCAAAATCGAAGCTTTTAAAGCTATTTTTAGGGAAATTCACCAAACAAAGCAACATTTCCAACATGGGTTGCCATATGCCCTGGTTTTTCCCGACAATTCCCCCAACATTCAACAATTCTGCCCGGATGTATGGCAGCCCTGATCTAATAATTCTGCTCAAACCTTTGTTGCTTTTAGACAATGGGGAGAGGGGGATGGAAGAATCATTTCATGCTGCTTCCCATGCGTAAATTCCTGTAAAATGCCATCATTTTAATGTTGAACCCCGGCAGAACCCAACCTTCACCAAGTCACAGTTACAGTTTAAGACAATCGTATGCAACTTGCAATTTACCAAGGTGAACACAGATCACAGTTAGACTGTGACACCTATTAGGTAGTTGCACCCTCCATGTTTTTGCAGCCCATCATAGACAAAACAAAAATGTAATAATTCTCTAGTGAACTGGCATATTAATATGTGTGCTACCACAAGTTTGTGTAGGTCTGGCTTTTGGGATATTTGCTATCTTCTAAGCCAGCCACTGAAGACAAACCAGTGTGCACTGCCTTCTGCAATGGAAGTCAGGGCAGATGTTGCTTTTTCTGCCCATTCGTCTCCCAACACTGTTATCTACTCCTTGCGTACCTGCCATGGCAAATAAGTTTCCATGTGTGCTTGATGGCAGGTGATGACCTGTGGGTGATAGGATATGGGACAGAATGGATGAGAAGAGCAATGGCTATCTTCTCCCTAAATTCATTAAAGGATATAAAGAGATATGTACAACATGCCAGAGAAAAGGAGCAAATCCTGCCTGGCTTAAGAGTAAAACCAACAAAACCAAATCAAATACACAAACTTTCTTCACACAATGTCATAATATTGTCCTTCAGTACCAGTTGTTCCAGCACTGGAGACAGTCATGTGAGAGCATGAGCCCATGACATCATCACATCCTTAAAAACCATAAATACCATGCTTTGTGAGTTCTTAGGGTGAAATCTGAGAAACCTACTAGGGCATAAGTCCTGGCGAAGACATTACTTCAAAGCAAACATGCATAGGATTGCACAGTAAAATCTTTAAATGGATATGGAATTCCCAATAGAAAAAAACATACTTTTTTGGATATGAAAAGAATATTACACACAATTTTTCAACTAACCGCACCTCTGTTTGCCACTGAACACCCTCTCCCTTATTACTCACTTTGTCTTGAAAAAGTGGAATCATAATTTCTATTCCTAATATGCTACTTTACTACTTTGACCTTTCCATATTTTACACTTTGACTAGCAAACATATAACCCCCCATTTCTCACTGGCATATTGAGTAGTAAATAGAGACAGGGATGAAATGGACAACAGACCAAAAAGAGATTGTCAAAAGGTCATTGTAGAAGGATGTGTCAGTATTACAGCTTAAATATATGGGCAATTCAAAATGCAGCGCTCTTTTCCAATGGAAATGGCCATCAATTTTAGGAGGAAAATAAATTAATCTGTTGTGGGCCAATTTAAACAAGCAAAGGGATTTGTCATTTCAAATCCAGCTCCGACTGAGCTGGCAAGTTCGGCTGTGGCATGCTGAAATGTACAGCAAGTAGAATGGAGCAAAGACCAGGGGCTGAAGTCATCAGTCCGCTTTGCCACACAAGCCATGCTCATTTGCTTGCCCCTGATTGGTCCAGCTCACAGACAGCCCACCAGCAACCCACATGGCCATAGGGGAAGGATATGATGTCGTCCATCAGCCTTGCAGGGCAGGAGAATGAACCCCTGCCTGAACCACAACCATGCTGGGCTGCAACTGCCACCTGCCCCTAGCTGACAGTAAGCTATCCTTGTTTTGTTTTTTTAATTCAGATTGCCTAGCTTGTGTCCCACCAAGTCAAAAATAGCACGGCACCCTTATGTTGTCTCTCAGGAACCTGACAGGTCACAGTACACGGCTAATGAGATACATTCTACAAGTTCTTCTTGGCAGTTTTAAACAGTTGCAGAGAATGCATTTGTGTATACCTAGATATACTTAGTTGTGAGAATGGCCACTTATCCCTACCATGGTGAGCGGCAGTTGCGGCCTGCCACAACACCTCCTCAGCCCCACAGAGCCTTGCCATTTTTCTACAGCGGTTACTGCTCCCTCCTGGCTGCCACAGAGCATCATGGGCACCGCCAGGCCCATCGTTTGAATTGGCCAATCCGCGGTGTCCTGGGGTGTGTGGCTTGGGGAGCGGACCTGTGGGATGTAGTCTTCCCTCAGGTCCACTCCCGGGGCATAAAAGCAGGCTGGGGCTGCTCTAAGCAGTGCAGTCGGCCTGAGCGTCACCCACCCAACCCTCCCAGATAGCAATGTGCATCCTACTATGTGGATTGAATCCTGGTACAAATACCTGAAATCTAAATGCAACTGCACACCTATTGTTTACACACACAGAGAGAGAAAGAGAGAGACCACAGCTTTAGTCATTGTCATTATGGTATTCCACCACATTCATTCACAGTACCAATGGGGGAGATGCAATCAATCACACATCATTTGTGCGATGAAAGCAACAACAGTAAATACCAATCATATTCACTGGGTTGATTTCCATTCCGGACATGGGATAAGTAAGAGAATACCAGCAATTTCCACTCTAGTCTTTCTCAGAATTCTTGGATAATCCTATTTTTTAATAGATGTGGTTAAGACTGCACTGTGAACCTTTCTTTTAGCTCAAAGAAGCTTAACAGGAAGCAGGGCAGTACCAATGGGCAAGAGAAATTAAGATGCAAAATATACCCCATGCATTTAAGTTAGGCACTGAAGTTAATGTTGCCCTGAGGCATTTTCACTTTGTGGGGACCAGCAGTTACATTTATGACAGGACAAGCAAAACTCCCTGACCTTGACAGCATTATGAGGGCAATTTTCCCCCTACAAGGGTAAGCATTTCTTAAAGCTCAGTATTTTGTCAATGCATTAAACAAACAGATTTACTGCAGGCAATAAAAATTACCCTCTCCACCTACTCATCTTCGGTATAAATGAACTCCTACTTCTGTTCTTAGCCTGGAGTGCTTATAAACCACTGCAGTTTCTTTAATTCCCCATAAATAAAGTAAGAACTACAGAACAAGTGGGAAGGCTTTGTAAGCCTCTCACTCATTATCCCCCTTCAAGTATTTTCTGTCGTACTCTTCGGACAGTATATGGTTCTAAATTGGAATGCACTCTCATCCAGCAGATTCACTAATGTCTTTGAGTTGACCGAGTGCACTCCAAAACACACTTACTGGAGAGCAAGCCCCATTGAGCAGAGATGGGGCTTCTGTTCAAAATAGATGCATTTGCACTGCGTTGCGCAGCACCACACTGGGGAGTGCTGTCACCAACTGCTCAAATTTCTAGGCATTTGCTTAAAATTGTGTGCAAGGTACTGTATATGTCTCCCACCAAACAAATGATTTCTTAATATCTTGATTTATGGAATCTCTGACAGTGCAAAGGGCTCTCACTTCAGCTTGCAATAAATTCTAGCTTAGGAGAATAAATATGATAATCGCCACTACATGACATGTTTATAACGCAGAATTTTTCTCTTCTTCTGCAGTTAAGAGCAGTAAAAACAACAGCAGCTAATCGAATGGTGACACTTCTTGCCAGATCACCCTATTTGGAACAAGAACAATCTTCATAGCACCTTGCAAAGAACAAGAGGAAAGGTCCTTGCTCCCAAAGAGAAATCAGAGATAAACAGGAGGGTTCGCTGCTTTTATGCATGCATCTATTTGTTACAAGTACTTAGGTGTCGTGTCAAAGGCTTAATGGAAAAGAAAGCTTTCAGAGAAGATATTTGCAGGAAATAAAAGAGGAGGAATCACATACACAGTTCCAGGCCAAAAATGACAGCGAGGAAGGAAGAGCAAAGGTGTTGTCTTCAGCTATTAATTCCTCTAGAAACATTTTGCCTGCACCCTGTATTTGCTTTTAAATCAATGGATCGACTGTAGGCTAGACAAAACCAGAGCCTAAAGCACTAGTGTGGAGTGGTTGATATCAGGCACCAATCCCTCAGCATGAGAACACCAGTGTTTAAAGTCATTATAAATGTGCTGTTGAAAGTGTTTTATGCTATTAACTAAGAGATAACCAAATGTTTTATGCTGTCGACCAAATGATGGGATCGTTTGATGAAGGACAGGTTAAAAACATATTAAATAAATGCAAAAATAAATGTTTTCCTCATTTTCATTTTTGCAATATTGGAGTGTTTGAAAAATTTCTACAATAGCTCAGTTGGTAGAGCATGAGATTCTTATTCTCAGGGTCATGGGTTTGAACCCCATGTTGGGTGAAAGATTCCTGCATTGCAGGGGGTTGGACGAGATGACACTCATGGTCCCTTCCAACTGTACAGTTCTATGATTCTATGATCTAGCCATGTAAGATGGCCATGGGTCACCCCCAGCCAGAGGGTTGATACTAAGGAAGATGCTCTTTTAGGTGCTATGGTCCCAAACTATTTAGGTTCTTGTATGCTAGTCCTAATTCCTTGAAGCATAATGTCACCTTAAGTAACAGGTGAAATGTATTCTGTGCTGGTTACGTCACACCCAGAGTAATGTGCCAAGTTCTGGGTATTGCCTTTGAAGAAAGACATTGACAAAGTAGTCTGTGCCTAGAAGAGCACAAGCAAGATGGTGATGGATCTAGAAAGCAGAACCCTGAGACAAATGTTTGGAAGATCTGGCTCTGTTTAGTTCAGAGAAGACTCAGACTCAGATTTTGGATGCCTCTTTACTCCACATAAGTGGGAAATGCTCCAGGTGTTTCATTCCCAGAAACACACTGATCTAATCCAGTGGGCTTCCAGAATGCTTTTAAGGATATGCCGTTGATGCCAGCCAACATACTAAATTGTTTAAGAAATGACATGAAACATAGACCAAACCTGAGCAAGAACAGGTTGGAGCATATTTTAATGATTATGCTATGGTGATGAAGGGCATGTCATTGCTTGAACTTTGTTGTATCTATGTGGTAGGCCTTCCTTGTAAGTTTTGGGGTGTCTGGGGCATGTTAAAGCAGCTAACTAGTTTAACTAATAGCGACAACAACTCACAGAGCCATTCCACAGTGCTTTTATGGTTTTAGGGTATTACTGCTACATCAATCCATTTCAAAGGGGGAAGCTTCTTTTCTGAGCTGCTGTGGTCCACTCCTATGTAGACCCCACAATAGATGTAAGCCTGAGATTTGATGGCTTGCCTGGTTTCAGTGGCTAGAACGCAGCTGCTATTAATGGCAGTAGGGATTCACAGAGTCGTAGACTAGGAGGGGGGTCTTGTAGGGCATCTATTCCAATCTTCTGCTCGATGCAGGAGAGCCAGAGCACCCACGAGAGTTGGTTATCCATCATGTGCTTGAAGGACCACAACCCCTTTAAGAAACGAGTTGCAAAGCAAACCATTCCTGCTTTCAAGCAGTTACTCTTAACATTCAAACTTCTGGCTTCAGGTTTGAAATGCACCAGGATCAAGCCATTCACTGAACTTCTGTTGTCACTTGTATTATGAGACCTTTAAAGAAAACAAAGATCTTCTATGGTCTGTCTACATTTTGTTGATACAAAACAGATATCTTTTTTCTCCTTATAAGAAATTACTCAGTAATAGCTGGCTTCATTGCAACATGGAAAGAGAGTAAAAGTCACAGTATTCTACTCATGATGGAATTCACAATTAAAATAAATGCATGGAATGAGAAGTGGGAGGCTTGTAATGCAATGGCTTATAAACCAAGAGAGCAATTTAATAGTCAATACTTTGCTTAATAGGATGTTATTTCAGGCAGACATGATAGAAGCGAGGGAGGAACATACCCCAGTTCAAGCATCATGAATTTATCTGCTGAAAGACATTACTAGGAAACAGAGGGAAAGAGTTACATTAACCACTCAAAAAAGCTATACAGGGAAGCTATCTCACAACAGTCGTACTGAAATAATTCTTTTCTGTTGGTGATGACATATATAAAGATTAGAATGTGTGAAACTACCCTATTTATATTTATGGATATTTCTAGGTAATCAAAAAGTGGCTTGACATGGATGGGAAACTTCATGTGCATATTCAAAAATAGATGGACAATTTCCGCAAAGGTTGAATTTTCTGAGTTGCTAGCAAACATCATTACTGTGAATTGTTGCACAACTATTTAAAGGAACATTTGAATGACAATATGCCTTAAATGCCAGCTGGGTTTCCTTTGGCCACTGGGAGCATGTCTTAGGGTCCATAGGAATCTTATTCTTCTCTGAGGACAGAGAGGGAGATTGACCTTGAAGAGTGGGATTCAATGTCAGATACTCCCTCCTCACTGCAACACAGACTTCTGTGGCCCCCGTCCTCCTGAGGTTGAAGCTCTGCTTTCAGAAGGACCAAAAATGGGATGTCCCAGTGAGCATATTGCGTCCCTGATGGAAGCAGAGTGTGAAGAATCTGGTATTCTACCTGTCTCCTGTCACATCCCCAAAGCAGGGAATAAACTGTGTTGTTGTTGTTTAGTCGTTTAGTCGTGTCCGACTCTTCATGACCCCATGGACCAGAGCACGCCAGGCACTCCTGTCTTCCACTGCCTCCTGCAGTTTGGTCAAACTCATGCTGGTAGCTTTGAGAACACTGTCCAACCATCTCGTCCTCTGTCATCCCCTTCACCTTGTGCCCTCCATCTTTCCCAACATCAGGGTCCTTCTCTTCTCATGAGGTGGCCAAAGTATTGGAGCCTCAGCTTCAGGATCTGTCCTTCCAGTGAGCACTCAGGGCTGATTTCCTTCAGAATGGAGAGGTTTGATCTTCTTGCAGCCCATGGGACTCTCAAGAGTCTCCTCCAGCACCATAATTCAAAAGCATCAATTCTTCGGCAATCAGCCTTTTTGTTCCCAATGGGAGGGGAACATATATTTTTTTTCCATTAAAAGCAACCAATATAAGACATCTGTCCTCACTTCCACCCTGCCAGTGAGAACTCAGGAGAGCTTTGGATAAGCAGTTCAACTGCCTTAGGTTCTCCTTCTCTCTGCCTTAGAATTGCAGCATAAAGGGCGCATCACCTTGTTATTGTATGAATGCCGACTTAGTGCTCAGACTTGTTCTTCATTCAAGCACTAACTGACTTGCTACTTCACACAAGTCTTACTAAAACTGGCATCATGCTAAGCGATGCCAAAGAGCAACTTTAAATTAACATAATTTTACAAAATGTCTGCACAATAAAGCACCATTCTTTTTCCTCTTCTTCCACTTTGTTTAGATTTTGATAACTTGTCTTAGAGACTGGGGATTCAGCTACATTAGTCAAAAAAAACAGTGTTCTGAATGCATTGTAAACATGTAACACCAGTTGGCACTGGAGAGCCAAAGAAAATTTCTTTGTGATTTTCCATAGTGTTTTATTTCTTTTGTTATAATGATTTAATTTCTGACTTATTCATAGCATCCCCCCCCCCCCCGTGTATAGATCTACCCTCCTTTTCACAAATAGCAAACAACACACACACATACATACACACACAGTGTCACTTCAAGAAATGGTAACAAATAGTCACTGCAGTCTTAACTGCTACAGATGTCCATCATGTGTATGGACGTTTTTGCAGTCTGAAAAAAGGTGAAAGACGTATGGATTGAAACCAGTGCTTTTTAGAAAAAGGAGGAAAATGTGTCTGTACTCCTCATGAAGTTGTTAGAGTAAGTACCACACTTAACATTTGAAGGGTGGAGGGTGCTGGGGGGATGCTGGTACGGAGTACACTTGAGTACCCCCCAAAAGCACTAAGTAAAACACAGGAGAAGAACCTACTGGAGATGGTGTCAGCAGATGCGCTGTAAAAAGTAGAACAATGTTTGGCTATTCTGGAGTATGTAAAAGCACTGTTAGATTAGGAGTGACAAACTCGAACCGTATGATGAACTACATCTCCCACCTCAAAAATGTCTGGAGGCCGCATCAATTATACATCCAGTTATTTTGGATAAACATTATTTTCCCCCGGTGTTGTGCTTTAAACGTTACGTTGGCATACAGCAGACTTCCACAACCTGGACATTTTGGATTACGACTCAAAGCAGTCCATCTGGGAGCTCCCATTGTTTAAAACCTCACACATATTTTGGATTCTCACAAAAGGAAGTACAAGTCTAAACAAATGTGATGTGCATAGCTAACATATTGCCTATGCAGAATGCAAGGTTTTCAAATACAGGTCGCACATACCTCCACAACAAATTGGCTAAGTGATGACTTGCACATGCGAAACGTGTTTTACTGATATGTCAGCCTTACTGACATAAGTACTGACATATGTACGTGTTTTACTTATGTCAGCCTAACTGACATAAGATGGATATGAGTGACACGCCAGACTCAGCTATGATCAAGCAAAGATACGGAAGGATTCGCGTGGTCAGGAACCCCAAAGACACAGGGCTCCCAAGGACATGGAAGGCCTGCATACATGAACTGTACTTTTGTGGCAACCCAATTCTCACCTTATGCTCAACACACCTAGACTAGCAGGCATGCAGACAGCAGGATGGTGCTAGCAAATGTAATTCCATCATCCCCGCTGCATGTTTGGTGTATGTATTTGGGCATCTGCATGGTGGATGCAAAATGTGGACTAGATAGATAATTGGACCACAAAGGACGGAAAGGGTCAACGGCTTGCTTAATCACTATTTTCAGAAGCATGCTAGGGACTTCATTAAAGCCTCTTGACATTCCTTGTCCTCCATAATTCAGGCGCTGCTAGATAGATGCTTGGCTTGACCCAGCAAGGCAATTTTTAATTTCATAATTGCTAAGAAGATGTCAAGGCTTTAGGGAATCCTATCCCTCTCACGGTGGGATGCCAAGAAGCAGAAGAACAAGAAGAATATATTTTATACAATATTCACAGAGCGAGATGAAGGAATGCAGTCTCTCTTAAATAATGGTGTTGCTCCAAGTAGTCCCACCCCTCAGCCCCTCCTATTCTATGTCACCCCTGCACCGACTGATCTGCATTATCTGCCTCTGAATTTTCTGTTCTATTACTCTCAAGGCACACCTTGTTCTGGGAGAGGGGGTGGTCAGGAGTGCTTTCAAGAGACACTGAGTGTATTAGCTGCCTCTCCCCTGATGCTTCTTCTTCCTGCTGCTCCCCAAATATTTCCCAGCTTCTCCCCTCTGCACCTCCGAACTATGACCTTCTGCAAGCCACTGTTCTAAATCTATACTGTCCTCCTCTTCTTGGGAAGATGCAGGAAGAGGGGAGGGCGGTTCCCACCATTCCTCTTCAGTCCAGCCCCTGACAGAAGA